AAAAACGACCCAAACACAACTTAAATTACAATACTGCAATAGTGTATTATTTATAAAATTAGTACTAAGATTAGTACTTTCGCGTTCGCCATGAGGTATAGACGGTAAAGTATGGTGGAACAGTTTTTTTGTTTATAAACATAATTTTGGTTGCTCAGAGTTCAAAATATAGAGAGAGCTACTCATATAAAAATTCGATTCAGATTTCGAATAATATTACTGCAAATAAATGGTTTGAAATAAAAAAAATATCAAAATATCAATCCCATCGATGGACGTGAAGATCATTGTGAAGTTAATGAATGGTACCATTACCGCCTAATTATAAAAGAAAAAAATAATTTTATAAACCGTAAGCAACGTTATAGATACACGTAGAGATTAAAAATATTTCCTATTTTAATAATACTATACAAGTTTATGTTCAATTGAATTGTATTTGAATCGTCGAGCCAGTCGTCGTGGTACCGCGGAATAAATTACAACGCTGACCTTGGGCGGACGACGACGACGACGACGACGACGACTGCATTACGAGAAACCACTGTTTCCCGAGGTTAATAATACAACATAATATTATTAACATCGACGGTGGGTACCGGTGCAGTGACCAATGCAGTGTTTTCATTTTTGTACAGAATCGTTTTCGAAATGAATGATCCGCAATCGTCATTGTGATTCTCGACGTGCTGTAAAACGTTTTTCGGATGGAATACGAATCATTAAAACGCGCCTCGCATCCGTGTATTCGAACAACGTCGATTGCAAACGTTTGTGTTTTTACAGCCAACGTCCTTATTCGTTTGCTATTGTATCCAACGGCGGTGCGACCTTCGAACAAATATTGAGAAGCCCTGAAAAAATGCGCTGTAAGCAACAGCTGCTCAGCAGGCCACGGTGCGTACGCTGCGTGAGAGCTGTGTAATATAACGTTAGGGATTTAGAGAGATCAACCGTCTCAATAGTATTGTTAGTTCGCCCCCTCCGCCAGACACACACACCCCATTTTACTCGAATAAACCGTACGGGGAAACAGGAAACTGCATGGTTGATACGTTTTAAACGTATGACGGATACGGGCTACGGGATAGAATGAAATATACGATTCGACGTGAAATATGTAATGTTTTATTGTAGTTATTTACGAATCGATTTATCCGATTTAATACGACCGTTTTTCGACGGCAAGTTGTGTTTAGACGTGCAATTTCCGCCGTGAACAGGTTCGGTTGCTGGAAAAATTTGTAATAGCGTTTTTTAGGCTCCAGCGGAGGAAAATACGTACTACGCCCGTTGATAATTTTTATTTTTCCGATTTTTTTCCATGGAACACAGTAAGAAGCAGTGGTGCATTTAGTTGGGAGGGAAAGGGGCAAATGCCCCACGTGGCAAAATATTCTAACTTTTATTATTGATGTGTTTATGATTTTTTTAATTTTCACACCTTTTTCGGTATTGTTTAGTATATTAAAAATATTGTTAAGCATCTAATAAGAAATTAAAAAAATTATACTATACTTAGTCACCTAGGTAATAGTGAAATAGCAAAATAGGTTATATGTATTATTCGATAAGATATTATATTTTCGTTCAATGTTTATAATTAAGACTCGGGTACACAGAACGCAGTATTCACTTTAAGGCGCATTTAAAAATGTTTACAAAAGGAGTAAAATTGTACATAAAAGTGTTCAATGTATGTTAGCATTTATAAAAGGAAATAATTTAGTTGCAGTATATCCTTATATTGATATTGCTCTAAGGATGCTACTACGTATGTACACCTTCAAGTAATTCAAGATCAACAACGGGAATTATAAATCGTCTTAATTAATTAACAACCCTCAACATTGAATCTGATTTAACAAAAACTATTAATTTTAATGATATCATTGAACATTTTTCTTCTCAAGAAAAAAAATTATAAGCTATCGATTATTTTATTATATATAATTAATAATAAATATAATATATATATATATATTTAATCTAATAAAAAAACATGTATTGTTAATCATTGTACATATAATAAGTATTAATTCCGTTTTCTATATTAAATATATATATATATATTAAGAAAGGAATATTCACTGAAAAAAAAATGAAAAAAAAATTATGTTTACGTTACGATGTGTATTAGTATAAAATTATCTAATACAATATCGTAAAACAACTGATTTATAATTTGTTTCATAAAATTAATTTTTTTATTGTTTAGCTTTGAATTTATTTATATATGTATATATATATATATTTTTTTTTTTTTTTTGGCAAGGGGAAGGGCGGAAAAATTATTTTGCTCTGGGGCGCGTATATATTAAATGCGCCATTGTTAAGAAGTGCGCGTGTGTTGGACCGGTCTAGGGGATTTATTTTATTCTTTTCTTCTCACGCCTTCGATCGTATCACCTGCGCATCTCGCGTTTAAGGATCGTCGTCGAAAGAATGGTACCGGATAACTCCCTACCAAATAACAATCGACTATTCAAAACAACTATCAGGCAATAATACAAAGAAAGACATTTTGAAATCGTCCGTTCGATTCAGTGGTCGGCAATCTTTTTGAATCCTCAGGCCACATTCACAAGTTGAAAAAGGTTCACGGGGCCAAACAATACGAAAAATGTATATGATTATCAGTGAAATGTTGGAATTTAATGCGGGCCGTATAAAAGAGACGTGTGAGCTGGATGCAGACCGCTCGTTGTCGACTACTGGTTTAATGCAATCGTTCAAAAAGGTTTTTCGACCGAACAACCGTTTTCCGTTTATAAACTGTGTACTCGATTAATTTTCAGCTATCCGCTCGTTCGAATACTATTCCAACAGTTTTAACGAACGGTCATTCGAAAATCGAAACATTCGAATGCTTTACGCGAAAACGCGTACAAATTGCTTGCGAGAATATCGGTGATCCGGAAAAACGTGAGATTGCGTTCCGCGGGGCTTACGATTTAAACGCCGTAACATTGTTGTGCGGAAGTTGCCGCCCAACAACATTCTTGTAGTCGGACGATTAATTGGAATGATTTTCGTCGAACGTTTAGATTACGAACAACGGATGTTCGACTGGTGGAGCTACGGGTGCGCGCATTCGGTTACGCATTCGAACAGTTTGACAGACACTGTCGTGTTCACCCCCGGCAACGTCCACCGCTGGTATTTTTCCTACCCCATCGTCCGCACCTGCTGTTGCGCGTACGCGCATGCACACGCACGTGAACGGCTCCGACCCGAGACCGATGGTGGGACGGGTTGCCGGGGCGACCGATAAGAACGGCGAGTCGTGATCGGTGCGCGAGGGGCGCGGGCGCGAACGGCCGTCATCATGTTTTCAGTCTCCAGAGCGCAGCCCACGGATCAGTACGCATTTTCCTCGTTCTTCGACGACGGGACATCTGTAGCGTTTCAACGTTTTCTCTAGCACCGGTCAGACAACAATGTTCACCGCATCACGCGACGCAAACGGGACGATGAATGGTGACGGCGAGGAACCCGCGTATGGTCAGCTCATCGTGGTGTCCAACCGGCTACCGTTCGTGCTGAAGAAAAAGGGACAGTCGCCGATTTGGGAGAGAAAGGCCAGGTAAAACGGGTTTCTCGAACGGGGAAGTACCGTCGCCGGGGAATAACGACCGACGGTGCGCAGTGCGTGCGCCGCGCACCGTCGAGCGCGTCCGACGACAACGAATAACACTCCATCGACTGCCGTATAAAAACGTCGGCGGGTTGAAAATAAATAAATAAATAACGAATCGTCTGAGCGAGCACATTGGTGATGTCAAAGAGTGGTCTCGTTAGTTCATTAGTATCGATGCATATAATTATTGCGTTTTAAGAAATGTGTTTATTTAAATAATGTAACTCGGCTTGGCGGCTGAATAAAATAAAAATTTTCTTTATGTTTATACAGTAGAACCTCATTAATCCGGACTAATTGGGGCTCTAGGTTGTCCGAATTAATGAAAGTCCGGATTAAACAAAATAACCAAAAATCGTAAATTATAAACTTATACGTACATATACTTGTACGAACATATACGTATACATATATATAAATGGATTATATGTAATTAGATAACTTTAATGACAATTGGTATTGATAAATATGTTATCGCAATAACCCGCATTTATGGGAAATTTGTAGAACTCGTCTTCATGTTTATTTTAATCTACGGGGAAAACTAGCGTAATTTCTTATTTACGTATTATAAACGGTTGTCCGGATTAAGCGAAGTCCGGACTAATGAGGTCCGGATTAATGAGGTTCTACTGTATTTAAACAGTATATCTATGTAGTTCAATATATACAATGAGTTTGTGAATAATAAAAATCATCGAGCCAAGTTAAACTATTTTTATTAAACAAACACAATTATAAATTATTTTATGGATTTTAACGAATTTATGAAATCACTCAACTCTCATTTTAGACATCACAACTCCTCTAACTTGAGTGACTTTTTTTTCCTCGACGATGCTTTTACACGCAGTTGACAGTGTTTTTGTTAAGACGTCATTCATTAATTTTATTCGTATTCTGACAATATTTGACCTTCATTTTTATTTTTATTTAGTGAAAAACTATGTGGTCAGAATTTCTTGGAACTGGCTTATGAATTTTTATTATGTCAATGTACATGGGTTTTTATTTTATTTTTACAAGGATTTAAGCATTTTGCTATGAAACAACAATGTAAACATTTTCAGACTCAAGTGGCCATCGCTCATAATAAAACTTGGTATAATTATACATTTATACCATTTATTATTATGACGAATTATACTTGTATAATGAATCACACAAAATGTAAAAAGATAATAAATAAGATAATAAGATAATAAGATAATAATTCATCGCGTATGGCTACCGAGTAGAGTTCTAAAGAGTTAATATAATTTTCCAATACTCCTACTACCACGTACTGTTTAAATAGCGATAACAACTACGAGTCCGTACGAGATGTAACACGACGTTCAACGTTAAGGTCACCATCCGGCGCGGCGAACAGATAATGAAACCGACATTTTAAAAATAATTGCTATTCGAACAATTACCGTTCTAATACTTTTGTACGTTTCTCAAATTATGGTACTCATATTAACTTGACATTTTAAACATCCCATCTACATAGTTAACTGATAAATTCGTGTAATTTTCAAATCAATTGGTTCGCAGACTTAGGTTATATAGAGTCGACAGAAGGATAGTCGTACAATTACAGGTTAAACAAGAGGTTATCGACTTGCGGTACTGTACACCTTTGTTGCATGCTTCTTTTTACCTTTAAATAATTAGTGCTCTACACCGCGACTGCGGTCTTTGCTTGTTTTCATGCGTACATTCCACCACCTGTTGTTACGCTTGACAACGTTGCGCACAATTTGGCTCATCGAATTTGCACATTCGAAAATCGTCTTCTACGTAATATTGTTTTTACCCGATGTATAACGAACATTTTATTAATATTATAAATTAATTTCATTTATAATTTATTATAATTATTTTAAAAGTTGTGTTACTGCAATATATATTTGGTTATACTTAAATTGTGCCTATAAGTATTGTTTTTAAGAATTGTTTACATATTTAATAAAAACTATTTAATTTAAACTTTTTAATGACTCTTACAGTATTTGATTTCAAAGAAAGATAATTAACGCATACAGATAATGGTTAAATTTAAATTTAAACATTAATATTTTAACCATGAATATTACTTCATATTAAGTATTACATAAATTGTGATGAATTGTTTTATAAAACTTAATATACCTACAAAGGATATATTTATTTTTTTAAACTAAATACTAAATATTATTTATTACTTATTTTCAATACAAAACTGTACATAATATAAATATTTTTTATTCATTATTTATATTGGAGGTACCTATTAGACCAAAGTTAAGTTAATTTTAATTTAATTTAATTTTTTAAGTATAAATTTATGAAAAATAAGTGTAAATTAATTAATAAAATAAAAATAAAATTATTCTTTATTTTATCCAGAAAAATAGTGTTTTATCTTTTATCTTTATCTAGATAAATTTTTAGTTATCTTTGCGTAACACTGTCCGTCATTCGAGTTAAATACTAAGTACATAATTATATACCTACATATACACATATATATATATATTCAATAATATGTATTTATAGTAATATAAAGCCGGGTTCCCACGGCGCGTGGCTTGGTATTGCCCGGTACTGTTCACGAGCCGTGGGATCGGTGTTGCTCGGCGCGGCTCGTGTCTATCCGAAAATTGTCGGTTTTTGGTACCCGAGTCAAAGGCGCCGCGCCACGCGCCGTGGGATCCCGCCTTAATACTATAAATAATTATAGTATCCATAAAGCAAAAAAAAAAAAAAAATAATGCCGATGCATTGATCAATCTCACTAAACATTTTCATGTTGAACATTATTTCCAGAAATGTATACTTAAATATAATAATAATGATAAAATGAGAAATACACAGTTGAGGAGAGTACTTGGAATTAAATCTTGTTACATTAATATGTTATCCACTTGAACTTTTGATAAAACTGTCAGTGATAGTATTTTTTGTTGTATTTATACATATTATATGAGCATAATCGATTGGTAAATGAAGTATTTTGTTTAGATATTTTATACTTTGAACATATTTTTTAGTACCATCATCACCATCTTTTAATATTAAATATTCATGTATAAAATACGCGTTTAAAATTTGTATAATATCCATCAATATATTAGTGAAAATTGAATATTAAATAGTTGTAAGCGACTGCGGTTATGAAATCACATTTTCCATACATCATATAGTAAATTAAAACAAACCATTTACTAATTAAGTATATAAATGTTATGTTTTAAAATTCTAAATAAGTCTTTTGACTCTTACACGGATAAATACCAATTTTTATTTTTTTATCATACATTTTTGTTTTAGTGCTGGTGGCTTAGTCACTGCTGTAGCACCTGTTGTAATTAAAGGAAATGGATTATGGATTGGATGGACAGGTGTTCACTTAAAGAAAGGTGAAAAAATACCCGAATCAGATCCTATTGATATCACACCCACTGCTGGATTACGTTCTGACAAAGTTAGTTATTTATTAAATTTTATAAAAAAAATATACAGCTATATTTACTTAAACAATTTATAATATTATATTTAGGTTATACCAGTTAATTTTGATTCTCAAACGTTTGATAGTTATTATAATGGTTGTTGCAATGGGACATTATGGCCGTTATTTCATTCGATGCCTGATAAAGCACAATTTTCTGCAGATTCATGGAAAGTAATGAAATTTTATAACTTACAAGTTTTTATAAGATAATAAATTTATATTTTGGTTGTTTTTAGTCATATTGCACTGTTAATGAAGAATTTGCATCCAAAACAATCAACTCATTAAAAAGTTTATTCAAAGAAGATACGAATCATAAAATTCCTATAGTTTGGCTGCATGATTATCACATCATGCTAGCAGCTAATAGCATTAGAAATGTAAAATTTTAATCTATTTAAATAAATATATATAAAGTAGTATTTGCGTATTAATAGTAATAAAATAAGTATAAGTGATATTAATTATTATTAATTAGTGATAAATTTTATACCTATTTTAAAAGTGTAATTGCATATTAATTTATATATCATATTAATATAAATACAATCATTTAAATAGAAGATTTTAATAAAACAATAATATTTAAGAAAATCCATTAGATTGTTTCAGTCAAAAATTCATAAATTTTTCAATTAAATTACTTAAGGCTTGAAAATTGTATACAAGATTAAAAAACTAATTAAATTTTACCATTAAATCATTCCTGTAGCATACCCGACCGTAGAGTTTCACCTGACCAGGAGT